ATTGGAATATTTCTGCACCATGTGATGATGTGAATGAGCATCTACAGAACTGAAAGCCGAGTAACTATCTACATGGCTAAAAAGAGGGCTAATGAGTTAGGACCCAGAATACTGTGACTCTGGCTACACTGCTTTTGGGATGCAGTCTACTAACTCTCTAAGCATTCTGCTAGAATACCATGCTTCCATCCTTCCAGGCTTCCAGGCTACCTTAAACCAGGAAAGGGTGAAAAAGTGTAAGTTGCATCTTGGTCCTTTACACTTTTCTGACTTTCTCTGTCTTCTGCATGACAATGGACAGTCAGAGTTTTAGACCATTCTTGGGAAAATGTTAGCAGGGTCATAATATAAAAGCTTCAACTAATCTGTTTCTGTTCTACAGAGATAAAGTACACTTCCTGTTCCACTTTTAAGAAGAGGCCTTCATAGTCATTCAGAAATATGATTTAACCAATTTTCAGTATCTCTAACATATATATTCATCTTTTACAGAAGATGAATATATATACCCAATTCATTTTTACATTAGTGCCACTTATACACTCTATCAACAAAAGGAGTCATTAAAGTAAGAGCACTTTACATTTGTTATACTTACAGGGCCTCTCTGTAATGGCAGGAGGATGTACATAAGGACAGGATCAGCAAGAATCAGACCTGAATGATTTTTACTGTTTATCTATTATTTGTGAAAAATAACAATTATAAAAGGAAGTCTTGCTAAAAATGTTGTGGTTAATAACGAGATCCAGGGGAATTCAGAATCTTTCTACAAGTTTACAGTAAACCTAAAATTGTACTTAAACATGATTCAGCAGATTTTAAGTTGACTGATGTGGTTTACTCTTTTCAAGTGAATAGTACCTGACTCATTCAGTAGCAGAGGGAAGAAAGGCGCAGCAGAAAGCACCACTTTCGCTCTTCCTTTCTTCCAGTCTTGGAGCACGCAAGCCATTGGTTTGGCGAGGCTGTACATTGCAATAGGCTGCTTAAGAGAGGCAGAATTGAAAGACAAGTAAACTCACCAATTTATATAAATGATACTGCCTCCTGTTAATGTGCACAGCATTGGCATTCCTGAGCAGTATTTGAAAGCATTAGGCCCTCCGAAACAGCCCCAACACACAACCTGTATCAATGCTTAGGTTTGCTTAGTCATGTTTAGGAGAGGTCAGCCACACTGCTGACTCACTGCTCCAAGGCACTTGGCAGCCTTGAATTGGGGGAGAAAGAACTTTGTTCTCCAGTTTTCAGAGACATTCATAGACTTCATACCCAGAAGCCATCACAAGATGAAAGGCTTCTTTCAATTCCCCTTCTGGTAAATTCATGTATATTTAAAAAAGACACTTCATGCTGTCATGAAATACCATTCAGTAGGAAACATTGGTCAAWTAAAAATATTTCCAATATATTACTGCACCCCAGAATACTGCTGGCAATTGAATTAGGAAAACAAAGAATTGAGTGGCCAGTAGATTTATTTATTTATTTCATCACAAAGATAAAAGCAATTGTAATTTTCCTGAACAAACAGTCCTGAGATTGATCAATGTGAAGAGAACAAGTATGACTGACATTCAGCATGTGCAAAATGATTCAGCCCTGAAAGCTTGTGAGAAAAGAAAATCCAGGTAGATTTGTTGCCTGGCTCTGAAGAAATTCAGAGACCTGTAAGCAAAAATCTGAAGGCAGTCCTGAAGGTGTAACTTGGGATGAAATAACACAGCACACAGAGGGGTGGAGCAGCAGACTGGCTCTCACCTCCACTGGCCAACATGGTAACTTACAGACAGGACATGATGACTAGGCCCAGACCTTTTTAAAAAGATATCTAGCTTCTTAGTGTCGGCAGTCCCCCAACCATGAGACAAAGAAAGTGGGCATTGTGTCTGACTCCATGCAAGAGTCATACTTCAAAGCCCAGAAGAAGAGTGAGTTTCATAGAAGGAAATATAAAAAATAAAGTGCTTTCCAGAAAAAAATCAAGAACAAGACAGGCTCAATACTAGGGAATCAACAGAGTTGATGTGTCAACAGAATAACGTTTCTCTGCAGTCAACGTAAAAATAAAGAGAAATAGGGATACAGGCATATTTCCACTCTCGTAGCTGCATCATGGCATACTGATGGATGAGATTTACATACACGTCCTGTATGTAAAACCCTTGCAGTACTTTTTTGCAGCCCCTGCAAGTACAGTAACCTTGTGAATAATATATGTCCATAAAGATTCAGAAAAATGAAAAGCCATCCTGCCCCATAAAGCAAATACCTTTCCTTCTGCACCAATCTCCATCATTCTTATCTGTGCTGTGGTCATGCCGAAGTGAACTAGACATGACCTTTGCCCACAGTCCTGACGTTTGTGCAAAAGTAGAACTAAACTTGCTCAGTTCCTTGGCTGCAACAGTTCAAGAGAAAAGTCATCATGAGGTGGCCAAACGCAAGTCAGAAGCTATTGGAAGCTATAGTTATTAGCAGCCCTGGAGAGTTCAGACACAGTTCTACAAGGAGTGGGGAAAGGGGTCACTGGTGAGAGGTGCGTATAACCTCATCCGTCTCATTAACCACCCCAATGCACTGCTGCATTTAGGTTCAGTACATGTTCGTTCCACATAGAACAAGAGCAATACAGAACCCTGACAATTTGTCTGTTTTTAAGTCGTGTCTTCTCATTTCTGTGGAATTTGAAAAACACAACCTTTTTTTTTTTTTTAATGGCCCAAAGGCTGAAATTTGCTAAAATCAAGAACCCTGAGTATGTGAAGGTCTCTCCTCCTACATCACAAGGTGTTGTCCTACACCACCTACAGCTGGAAAGTCTGATATGCTGCAGAAAAAAAGGTACTAGGCAGATCACCAAAACATACAAGAGCAAGCAGAATTTATCGCAAAGAGCTAGTGCTGCTTGTCTTCGGCAATGGAATGTCCTTATACAAGCTCTCAGTCAGCATAAACCTAATTTTTGTGTGGAATTTAGAGATATGAATAGCCCTAATGAAGTTTATGTTTGTTTGTTTTTTGTCAGTGAACACTGCTGTGAAAGCACAGCTGGATCTTGGCCATTGTGAACATCCTCTATGTGTCTTTACATATACATATGCGCTAATGTCCCATATGCTGACAGCAGGGATGTAGCTTCAAAGATCAAGCTACAGGACCCTAAGTTCAGACAATTAATTTGCTTTTCAAAAAAACACCTGCACTTTATTATGGGATTAACTCAGCTCCTCCCAGTCAGGAGACACCAAGGAGATATGAATCCCTCCCTCCCCTCAAAAGCACCATTGCTGCTATCCATCTTCCCTGAGGATTTGTCTACCTTGGCACTTTTCAGGTCACCTTGAAACGCTGCATTATCAACTCCTTTTTGATAATAGGCAACTCCTTTTAAGATGGTGTTAAGAGGTCTGTTATAGAAGAACTGCTCCCATGCACTTTGCTCTGGGCAAGGCAGAAAGAATGCGCCTCTCCTAGCAAAGCTGATGATCACAGAAAAGCTACTGTTGTGCTGATGCAAAAGTAAGAGCAGAAAAACATCCTGGATTGAATGCAGCCTATACTCTGTACTGCCCATTGGGGTCTGAAAATAGGTTTGCTTTGGCTGCATATAATGCATTCAGTATATGCACAAAACTCATCATAGGGACTCGGCCATATGCAAATAGCTGCGTGGATCATGTTGAATTTTTATGATGGCTCCAATCATGGGGGAGATGATGCATCAGTAGGCACAAGGATTTTAAGGTAATCACAAAGCAGCCAAAAGTCACACACCTAGAAGCTTCACATCGTAGCTTCACATTCATAGCGTCTCCAGCAGGTCGAGGGAAGTGATCATCCCCCTCTACTCAGCCCTGGTGAGGCCACATCTGGAGTACTGTGTCCAGTTCTGGGCTCCCCAGTACAAGAGGGATGTGGAGCTGCTGGAGAGAGTCCAGCGCAGGGCTACGAGGATGATCAGGGGCCTGGAACATCTGCCATATGAGCAAAGGCTGAGGGAGCTGGGCCTGTTCAGCCTGGAGAAGAGGAGGCTGAGGGGGGACCTGATCAGCGTGTATAAATACCTCAAGGGAGGGAGGGAGGAGGAGGGGGGCGGCCTCTTTTCAGTGGTGGACAGTGATAGGACTAGAGGAAATGGCTTCAAACTGAAGCATCGGAAGTTCCACAGGAACTTAAGGAAGCATTTCTTCACTGTGAGGGTGACAAAGCACTGGAACAGGTTGCCCAGAGAGGTTGTGGAGTCTCCTTCTTTGGAGATCTTTAAAACCCGCTTGGACGCAGCCCTGTGCCACGTGCTCTAGGTGACCCTGCGTGTGCAGGGGGGTTGGACTCGATGACCTCTGAGGTCTCTTCCAACCTTCGGCATTCTATGATTCTACATGAGAAGGAAAAGATACTCAGCTAAGAAAGAGGGTAGTTACCTTAAGAAAATAGATAATCTCTTTCTCTGGTATTGGAAGTGAGATTAATTTGCATCCTTGATATTTTATCAGAATAGTTGAAGCCAGAAGACCTTCTGAAGAAGGGCAGTATAGGATCAGAGAGCAGGGTCCCATTGAAGGAGCCAAGAGAAAGCAGGTTTCAAATCTGGGAACAGGGTCACTGTATGTAAAGATTATGACAGACATCACAACTACTTAGGGCCTATGAAAAACAGGAAACTACTGCTAGAAACACAATATTGAACTGCTGGCCTGCCTAACCCAAAGTGGAGCAGCACTGTACTTCTCCATTCCCTGGCTGATCCACTAAGACAAGACCTAGTGGAGGATTTACTGCTAGTTTTGAGAGGGTGGGTGATGATAGGGTGTCTTCATAATCCACAGCTCTAATACCAGATTACAGGCAGCTCTTGGGTTGGCAGAGACAGGGCCTCACTCAGGAGTGCAACAGTGCAGACAGTGCCATGGGAAGCACAGGCCACAACTCCAAGGCTATGAGGAACATTCCCACACATCTTGTCACACCTCTTTCTCTTCCCGTGTCTCTTCCAGGGAACATCAGAGAGGAAGCAGCAGCAGTGGGGGGCAGCTTAGTGCTGACCTGCCCTAACAAATCAGATGTAACTCTGGTAACCTGGAAAATAAAGCCCAACACTGGAGGCCACTGCATCTTGGGATACAGGGCTGACTTAAAGCAGGCAAACAGAACAAACTGCACCGAGAATATAACCTGGAAATCAGGACCAGAATATGACTCGGCCCTTCAGATACGGCCCGTGGAAAGAGACAGTGAGGGAAATTACACCTGTGAGATGGCTGCAGGGGACGGGAATTTCCAGATGACCTACCACCTGACTGTGCTAGGTGAGGGGCTCCTGCCTCATTTTGCAGTTCTCCAAGGAATCACATGCAAGCGCGGGCAGAGAGAGCTCCTCTCTCCCCCAGCACAGCAGCAGAAAGAGTATTGCTGCCTGGACAAACTGGGATGCATTTCCTTTCTAGTCCCTCCCTTTCTGCCCTCTCTTTATCTACCAAAACTCTCCTCCCTTCCAATGACRCCTCTGCCCCTGTGCATTTGGGAAAGGGCAAGTCCTGTCCTCCTTCCAGCGTCCTAAAGAAGGATTCTGCAGGTCCATCTGGTTACCCATTAAAGGCAGTCAGTCAGATGCTGCTGCTTTAATATAAGGAACATTCCTGCATTTTGGGTGGGGAATAAGAAACCCCGTCACAACTGCAGCAAACTAACCCCCCATGTCTCCCCAATGTTTGCAGTGCTCCCCAAGGTGAGCGTGTACTGTGACAGCCGCGGGAAGCCCGTGTGCCGGGCAGCGGCGGGGAAGCCAGCCGCCCGCATCTCATGGGTGCCAGGGAGCAACTCCAGCCCCGAGCAGGAAGACCTCAGTGACGGCACCGTGACTGTGCTCAGCACCTTCGTGGGAAACGGCACCGATGTGAGAAGTGCCAACTGCGTCGTGTCCCACCCCGCTCTGGCCCACAACGAGCCCATAGCATGTGGCTCGGGTAAGCTGCTCTCTATGTGCCCCACATTCAGACTCCTGTTCCTTTTAAGAGAGAAAATCCATAATAGCATAGAAACATCCAGAGAAGTCCTATGTAGATAAGAGTAGCTTCCCCATCTGTCTTTACCCGGAATCATTACCAGTTCCAGATGCTATTTCCAAATGTCTTCTTCCTGAAGAAATATCTCTGGTTAGCCTGGTAGTATTCTTTTGGCAATGGGAAAGCTGTTGGAAGCAAATTGAAAGCAGACATGCTCTTTCTGCTAAATTTAGCAGTTGCAAGCTGAATATCAATAAAATCTCTTGAGATACAAAGGCAAGGTCTCATACTCAGACTGTGGGAAGAGAGAGAAGGAGAAACACCTCATGTTTGGCCAGCAGAAACAATAAATCACTTGATTCTGAGTTGTGAATGGAGGATAATGTCACATTGATTGTGTGACATTAGGTTTCTAGTTTTTATATTTTTCTTACATGAGTTGCAATACTGAGATATGCTGAATCCCTGAGGGAAGCTAGAATAACRGTTACCCAGAGGATAACAGTGCCACTGATATCTGAGTGCCACTAATATCATCATATATCACATATCATCTATCATCTCAGTAGGATTTTCAACCCTGCTCTTGTCTCTGACACAGACTATATTTTTTTCTCCATCAAGTTTCATTAGTTTCCTTCCTGCCAAAGGGGATTATCTTTATTTTACAGGCAGACTGAAAATTAATGTGCTAAAGTGACTTTAATCTTATACAGTTAAAGAAACTCATCAGTGAAAAGACATAACTGAGATTAACTCTTTCTGTTTAGAGAACTTAATTCTGTATGCCTCCATAGCGGCTATCCTGAGCATTCTCCTCTTCATCGCTCTCATTTACTGTTTTATGCTCCGCGGTGGCAGGTACGTATGATTAATGAAAGCTTGCCTAGAGCTGCAAGAAATCTTGAAGTATTGCTTGTTACCTTATCATGTGTCTTAAACTCATCTGATCTGGTCACACTGTGCAGCTGTGAGTAACTGAATTAACTAGATCAAATATTTCTACTCCACACTGCAGTCACTGTGTACTGTCTGTATTATCACTGCATAGTGCATCTGACCGAGAAAACTGCAGAAGGGCAAGGGCTGGCAAGGGGTCTTCACTGTGTGGCCTCCAGCACTGAAGGGGAGCTCTTCATTCTGACAGGAAACCAGCTGAGTAAACCTGTTCTTCAGACAGCAAATTCCTTCCAGCTCCTATTCCAAAACTGCTTTTCTTCCCATCCTCCTCCTTCAGATGGGAAGAATTACTTTAAAACAGCTTCACTAAGGGAAAACTTCACATACTTCCAGAAGACTTTGATTTTAGTCTTCTGCTTGAGCTCCCAGAAACACCAGAAGAGACCTCTCAACAGAGTCATGGAGCCAAATTTCAGGCTCAAAAGTCAAGGAGAGAAAGAAACACGAACACATTTTAGCTTTATTTTTGATGATAAAAAAAAAAAAAAGATCTTGTAATAAGAGAAGGTCAAAAGCCTTTCTAGCCCAATATTGAGTTGAGGAATGAATTTGTTTCAATGTGTTTTCTTTCTCACAGGCTGTGCAGCAAAAGCAAACCTGAAACTCCTCCTACACATTCCTCACAGGTAAGGAGATGGATATAGCTTAGACCATCACTAAATCAGGAATCTAGTAGCCTGGAATCATGGTCACTAAAGGCAAATCGTTACATTTTTACTGTCTCCTTTCTGCAGCTGCTGCTGCTACTGCTAAGACACAGGCCTTTGCAATACTTAGCTACCATTTGACCATAGCAACATCTCAGGAGAACAGAGAGCTTATCGTGACCATAACATAGAACTGGAGCAAATAATAGAGGCATATTCTAAGAGGAAACACTCAGCAACTGCCACGGTTTATCTTTGTAAGGAGCAAGTCCAACCACATCTCCCTGGTCATGTCTGATACACTGACCACAACTGCCATGCATGCGATCCTTGCACAGGGTGGCAATATCATGCGTAGGGGAATATTAGCAAAGCTGTTCGTAAATGAAAGAATCACACAAAAAGTAAAAGGAGACTTCAAGCACATATTACACATATACACCTATTATGTTCAGAATGATAATGTGTAGGCTTTTAAAGGCCACTTTCTTGTACGATCAATCCACAATCAAAGTGTCAACTGTACTCAAGCCAAAACACTTTATCAAACAGTGCCAGGGATGTTGAACTTCAAGTTGGGGAACTTGCTTGAATTCCTTAGGCTACTACAGGCCTCCTGTGTGGCTGAGCAATTCACTCATCGTCTCTGTGCCTCTGTTCTCTGCTTTCAGCTACAAATAATGCCAGTTCCTTGCAAGCAGGTTGTGAGACAATTACATTGTGAGACACCTACACTGTCAGTATCTGTGTATCCACAGCAGACACTACGTTAAAATTCTGTCATCAGGCTGAGAAGGTTCTTCAGTTTTGTTGTTTGAATTAGCTCACTCAATTCTGGCTACTTTTGCCCCTCCTTTTCTGCTGTCCTACCTCCCAGTTGCTTCTGACAGGTGCAGCTGCACTAATATAAAATGAGTGGTTCTTGCTGGTGCATTGTAAAATTTTCATTACTGTGACTGTAGATTGAGATTGTAGTCTGATGGCAGAATCCTTTGCGATCAGAACACTAGCATGTTATTTGATCTTTCCAGAGAATGAGATCCTAATCCAAAATTTTGTAGGCAAAAGCAAGGGAATTAATGCCTCAGTTTTACTTACCAAGTCTTTAGCAAAAAAAGCAATATGGGTTCTTTAGCAGAAAAAGTAATATAGGATTTTTCTTGAGTACAAGGGGAATAAATGTAGGAGCATTATTTCCCTGTCACATTATTAGTTCAGATGAAAGGTTTGCAGAGCCTCACCATACTAAAATACTCATTGCACTAACAATTTTTTGGTTTTGTTTTGCCAGGATGACCCCATGGAGGTGGAACCTTATACTACTTATGTGCACAAAGAAAATGTAATTTACAACTCAGTGTCTGACCTGACGGTGGAGCAGAACCTTCCATAAGGACTATTACCAGTCACATGAATGATTCAACAACACCGGAAATGAGGAGGGACATTTTTAAAAGTCTGGCCAAAGGAATAATCTTCTCAGAGGATTTATTCACATTTTGGGGGAAGAGAGACCCCCAGATCTCTTCAAATACCTGGGCTTACTGATGAGTCTATATACATATACACACACACACATATACACTTCTGTTTTGCACCACTTAAAGTGGTGCTGGGAAAATCTGACCGACCTCATGCCACAATTTTTGGAAAAGTTCCTGGGATCAATTTTCCCTTGGCATTTTTACCTCAGGAATCCTATTTTGTAACTCATGTCTAGGCATTACTTTGATACACTAGACACTATACTGCACTTATTTGGGAGAAGGAAGGAGTGTTAAGTCTGAGTTAAAATGAAACACCCTACAACTAACATCCACTTTGTTGTAATTTATAAATGAGGAACATATAGGCTCTGAGTATTAATCCTCACAGAGTATCTCAACTGGCAGAAGTTATCAACAGAGAAGACCTTTAATTACTGGTCTTAAAAACAGAAACAAGTGATGAATTTAGAAGGTCATTCACTAGAAAAGAGACTTCACTGGTATGTTGAATTAACCTCTTACGTTCATATTAAGTATTTCCACTAAAAGTCTTCACTCAATTTTTCATATTTATCACAAGTAATCTTATTGTTAAGATTACTTTTCCTTAAGATTCTCCAAGGAAAGGTATTACTTTCTCTTTTGGAGCATTTGGCATTATTGGCATTCAGTGTAAGAATTCTATTAATCAAATCCAGTAAGCTCTTCCTAGCAGAAGCTCACACCAAACTTCAGGAAAAGAGACAAGGTGAAATATATCCTCTATAACTGTGCAATAATATACAAAAAGGGTAAATGTATRCTAACTCTAGCCATATTTATTTTAACTGCACCTGAAGATATTTTCATTGATATTTCTAAATCTTTTCTTGACTCTTAATACAGCCTTCTAAATACACTTACAAGTTCACTTTGTTGTGTACAAAATACCTTACATATCTCAGTGTGTCATAACCTGTTAAGATGACTTCTTCTCACTTTCCCAAAATATTTTTTGAGAGTAAGTTAAATGAATGAAATTGTCCTCAATATACTAAAGGCTCTTTAACTTTTGGGGTGATTGCTTACTAGCTAAAGCATGAACTGATTCTCCAGTAAGGACAGAGCACATTTCTAAATCTCTGTATACTACCTTTTGCTTCAGTATTTTAAAAGTCAGACAGAATACTTGGTCTGATGGTAGAATCACAACTGGGTTTAGACCAGAAATGTCTTTGCAGAAATGTCTTTGCCACACATTCCTCCAGCTCTTTTGAGCTAGTGCCTGAGGACCATGGTCCAGGGCTCAGAAAATGCACATTTAAATTTATTCCAGTTCTTAAATGTATTACTCAACTAAACCAACCCAAATAGTTACGGATGCAAATACTCATGCTACCAACTATGAAACTGCCGCTTCCAACCCGGTGGGCTCTGCATGCAACTATTGTTCTTCTCTTTTTCTTTATTTCATTTTGCAACAGAAGGGAACAAAGCTGAAAAGTGTATTTCACAGAAT